CAGCATCTCTGGGATCCTTCCTACAGCTACTGATGTGATTCTCTGAGTGGTTGGAGAGCCAGGCTCCAACGCTCCCTGGACCTGGGGCAGCCGAGAGCCAGGGGAAATGCAGCAGGAGAAGCCCTGAGCTCCCTGCGGGTGTCTCTGTAACTAGCCCAGGTGTCTGACCCCAGTCTCTGCTCCCAGGGGACGTGTGGACAAAGCTCTTCACAGGCTGGAGGGGTCACGGTGGGAACCTCTATTACTTCTCCCAAGAAGAGAAGTCGTGGTTCGAGGCCAAGCAGTTCTGTGTGTCTCAGGGCTCACACCTGACCTCCGTCTCCTCCCAGGGGGAGCAGGTGAGTGCAGGAACCTCCCAGGGCTTAGACCGTGGGTCGGGGCCTTGTTTTATATCAGAAGCAGGAGGTGGGTGGGTGACAGCTGAGGCAGCAAACCTGCAACGTGCCTTGTAACAAACTCTGGGGGAGGATGCCTGGCCCTGGAACCTGACACAGGGATCCACCCATCAGTTTAGAAGCAGAGATGGAGGTAGGAGGGAGGGGCATTTTGGGTCTGGCTCATTTCTCTAGGACAGGTCGCCATGGTTACTCCGTGCAGATGCACAGACTCAGACCCAGAGACGCTCCAGGACTCCCACAGGGTCTCCAGCAAGTCGCTGTCAGCGCTGGGGGTTAGACACCATGTCTACCACTGCCCAGTGCCCTGCTCACATCCCCAGACGCCCGTTCCCCTCCCCAGCCTGTTCAGCCCTGGCAGCTGCGCCTGCCCCTGCAACCTGTCTTGGGTGGCCTGACCATGCTGGGATCTGTGTTGGGCAGGAGTTCCTCTCCAAGGGGACGGACGGAAAGCGCTACTGGATTGGACTCACCGACCAGGGCACTGAAGGCCGCTGGCGCTGGGTGGACGGCTCAGAATACAGAGCAGACGCCAGCAGGGGGTGAGTAACGCGGAGACTGATCCCGTGTTAATGTCTCGTCACAGGCTCTTTCAGCAGCGTCTGCTCGGCCCCTTGGGTCTGTGTAGTCCCCAGTGCAGGGGGCCCGATCCTGAGGGAGGCTCCTGGGCGCTGCCCCAACGGAAATTCACCCTCCCAGGAATTCCTACACACGCCCCTTTGCTCAGAGCCTCCCTGGGGACTCGCTATTGACCTGAATGAACCACCTGGATTTACACCAGCTGAGGGACCAGCCCTGAGCCAACTCCACCCAGCCAGCTTGGCCTGGAGCGAGCAGCCGGGTCCAGTGCTCTCCCTGGGCCACATGGCGCTCCATCTCCCCCACTGTGGGGTGCAGGCTGCAGGGGCCGGGGCATGGCCGGAGCCAGCTGGAACCGTTACACTGAGCGCAGGGGCCTGGGCTGAGGCCCATGACCAGGGCAGGGAGAAGCCAATGAGGGAACCTGTTGCCCTCTCTTTCCATCACTTTGCTGAGTCATTTCTGGGGGTCTTGGCCCCCTGCTAACTAGAGTCCGTGCAGCAGAACCGAGGTCAGCGTGTGGCCGTGGTTCTCCTGAGACAGTAACACTCTGCTCTGCAGTTTCTGGTTGCCTGGTGAGCCTAACAATGAGAACGGCAGAGAAGACTGTGCTCAGTTCCGCACACAGAACCAGACTTTGTGGAATGACGTCCCTTGCACTCTCCGTTTTCGGTGGATTTGTAAGCAGCCCATGGACAGGAGGTGATGTGCAATATCACCTGCTGAAGGTATGAGGGGGGCACAGATGAGCTCCCTCTTCCCCCAAACTCCAGGAGCCAAAGTTTTTGGGGAGCGGAGGCAGAGGGCAGATAATTAATGAACTGGAATTCTTGGATTTATCTCTGAGGTCTCTGCAGCATTATGCAAATATATGTAATATGATCTCATCTGGGTCCTCTAGCAAGCAGGAGCAAAGCCTCGTGACTTGGGTGTTCGTTTGTGAGCGCTGACAGCACCGCACCATCCTCCCTGATGCTGCCCCGGCCACACGCAGAGCAAAGACATCGTCCTCCTCCTTCTCTCTTCTCTTCTTTTTCACGCGCGGTTTGTTTGGGGAGGAACTTAGGGTTCTGGGGTGGGGGTGACCCTGGATGTTGAGTCCAGTAGGGAACGGGGGGAATTTTGTTTCATCTCATTATTTTCCATGTACTTTGTCCTTCTTTCTGGCTGTAGCAGAGACACTGGTCCCCTGCTGCCCGGCATGAATGGGTCTCTAATTTGTATGTTTCCAGGTCTGTCAGTAAATAAACTACTTGGACCATGGAGTTACTACTTCCAAATCATTCAATAAATAATAATTTGCTGCCTTCCACTAGAATTTCTATTTTGTTTTTGCACCTTGAAAATCAGATGCAGAAAGATGTAGAAATACATATATATTCTCTAAATATAGAAATCTCTATATAGATAGAACCCTCCATTTTACTCTACAGCTGGAATCCCAGAGTGTTTGGCTTATGGGGAGCAAGAGGAATATTTCCATGGAAACTGAAGCCTATCTAGGCTCCGCTCTGCCAAGTCTCCCCTCCTCTTCCGACATTTTTTACGGAAGCGCAGACACATTCTTTCAAAAGCCCCAGTCTTCCTCGTGCCACAAGGAAGAAGGGCTCTTCCAAAAGAGGAGGTTTTTCCAAAATTTGGCCCAGTGTAGACAGGCCAAATTTCAGAAAAGCCTCCTCTGACAAAACTATCGAGAAAAGGTATGCAAATGGTGGAGTGCGTTTGCGTACCTTTGACCGAAAAAAGCAGCAGTGTAGACCTGGCCCGAGGCCAGGTGCTCAGGACACTGAGGAAGTGTTGCAGCCAGACTGAGATCCACGAGGGATTAAAACCGCTTGGGTACATCGCCAACCATTATTGGGTTTCTTGCACCTTTCTCTGAAGCGTGTAGAAGAGGCCAGCATCAGAGGCAGGTACCTGGGCTACGTGGACCATGGGTCAGCTCTGGTGAGCCAATTACTGTAAATCTGAGAGGGCAGAACCACTGGAGAGGAACTGAGAACTGACCTCAAGGTTCCTCCTAATCTGAGTCAGCTCTTGGAAAGTTCCCTTACGTGGTTGTTTTGTTTGGGTTAGCTGCTGGAGTTCAGGTTTCAGTGTGAGATGGGGGTGCAGCTAGCATACTTCTCCCAGGAGGAAGAAGAGATGTGACAGACCGGGCCAGGTCTGGACACCGCTGAGGGTGTCTACTCAGGGTTAATTACTCAAATCCAGGGCTCCTTACAATCCCTGACTGGAGACCTTTCCGAAATAGGCCACAAACCAGTCACACCGAGCTTCAGCTGCCAATCCAGCCAGCAGGAAACAAGC